TTACATTTATTTATTGTGTGTGTGTGTGGCCAGCTCAGCCCACCAGGGGGCAGGGCTGGCTGGCATGTGGTGCTGGGGGATCGAACCGCGGTCCCTGTGCTTTCGCCAAGCTTGTTTCAAGTAGGTGCTTTAGACCACTGAGCCATCTCTCCAGCCCCTTCAGCCCCTTTGGAAAGAGACTTTCTGCATCTTTGCTTGCTCCTAGCATGTGGTCTGTGCTTTCCTCTGGCCTCAATGTTAATTTGGAGAGTAGACAGGGTCCTGGGTGATGGATGTCCCTGGGATATCTGGGGACTAGTTCCTCTGATGTCCTCAGTGTCTGTCTGCCACCTTACCCTCCCACCAAGATAAAGGTGAAGCTGCCTTCTTTAGTGGTGACTTGGTCCAGGGCATGGGTCGCATGGGTTCCTCACCTTGTGGAAAGGAATGCTTGTCTTGGTTTTTGTCCTCTTCCTCAGCCCTCTTGTTGCCCTCTGGTGTCCAGATTACCCTCTTGCCATCCTCATGTCACCCCCTTTGTCACCTCTACTCCTTGCCTGTCTCGGTACATCTGACTTGCCTCCTGTCTGTGCTCCTTCTCTCCATTTTGTCATGCAGTACTTGGTGAGCATCCCTTATGTGCCTACTCCCATGTCCTACCTCTGTGCCTGCCCCCAGCCCCAGATTTTCCAGAACAGAACACTGGATATAGTGTGCCTGGCCATTGTCCACGAGAATGTCTTTAGGTTGTCTTCTCATTCTCCTGCCTCATGGGGCCTGGGGCCTGCTTGTGGCTGTGAGTAAGGCCTTCATGCTGTGCTGGGCTCCCTAGTTATCAACCTATTGTCTTCTCTCTGCAGCACTGTTTCAAGATGCCCCAATCCCTGGGTGTCATTGGAGGGAAACCCAACAGTGCCCACTACTTCATTGGTTATGTCGGTGAGTCAAGTCCACATCCCTAGGTCATACCAGTGCTTTCCAGCCCACAGGCCTGGCTGGGAACGTTCCCCAGAGCAGCACTACCTCATCTCCTGTTCCACCTTGCCCACCACAATGTCTGTGGACACAGGGTTGCCAGTGAACCAGCAGCATGTCCCCTCCGGCATGTCTGCCTGGTGCTGTTTCCTGGCTGGCCATGTGGCCTCCGTGCATTTCCTTTCACTGATGGTCTAGTCCTGCCCTACTTCATGCCTGCTGTACTTCACAGTGGGACTGTATGGTTGGGCTGGCCTTGGCATGCTGGTCCTATTATGGCCCTCATCCACTGCCTGGCTGACCTCTTTCATTTTGCCCAGGTGAGGAGCTCATCTACCTGGACCCTCATACCACACAGCCAGCAGTGGAGCTGACAGATGGCTGCTTCATCCCTGATGAGACCTTCCACTGCCAGCACCCACCCTGCAGGATGGGGATTGGGGAGCTGGATCCGTCCATTGCTGTGGTATGTTCCAGCCATGTGCCCTTGCCAAACCTGCTTTAGGTTGAAGAGGGAAATTTCGAGGTTTGTGCAGTTTTCCCAGCATTTGGAGTGTTGTTTTCTCATGGTTTTGATCAAGAGGGTGTTGCCTCATTTCCATATCTTTATGAAGATTTTGTGGTTTCTTTTGCGATTGATTTCCAGTTTCATTGCACTATGGTCTGATAATATGCATGGGATAATTTCATTTCATTTGCATTTACTTAAGCATGTTCTGTGAGCTAGTATGTGGTCTACTTTGGGGAACATTCCGTGTGCAGCTGAGAAGAATGTATATTCTGATGTTGTGGGGTGGGACTTTCTGTAGACATCTTAAGTCCATTTGTTCAAAAGTTTAGTTCAGTTCTAATATTTCATTGTTGACTTTTTTCTGGTTGATTTGTCTGTGATAGTGGGGTATTGATGTCTCCCAATACAATTGTATTAGTGTTTGATTTTTCATGTCCATTAATACTTGTTTTATATAACTGGATGCACCAGTACTTGTTGCATATATATTTATTATTGTTATCTCTTCCTCTTGGCTTATTCCCTTTATAAGGATGTAGTGACTGTCTTTGTCTCTCTTAATGAGTCTTGTTTTGAAATCCATTTTGTTTGCAAATAGAACAGGTACCCCTGCTTTTTTCTGTGTTCTTGTCACATATTATTTTCCATCCTTTGACTTTCACTCAGTGAATTTCTTGTTAAATTAAATGTGTTTCTTGTATGGAACATATTGTTAGATCTTGCTGCTTCATCCATTCTGCCAATCTGTTCTGATTGTCAGATTGAGACCATTAACATTGATGGTTATAACTGATACATACTGACTTAACCCTTGTCATGTTCTTTTCCCCTGTTGTTGGCTCCCCTTTTGTCTTGTTTATCTTGTCTGGTGAATTTCTTCTGTTGGGGTTCATGGAGTTGTAGTCCTCGTTATCTCTTCCTAGAATGTCCTTCAGAACATTTTGGAGTGCTGGTTTTTTTTTTTTT